ATCTGCACCGTGCGGCGATGAGCGAAGCAGATCTGCATCGCCGGCAGAGATGGGAAGCGTCGCCGGTGAAGTTTGGTAGAGAGAGAAGGCGGAGAAGAAGCGAGAGAGAGAGAAGACGGAGAGATGAAGAGAGAAAGAAAATGGAAATGGTTTCTAGGGTTTGTGATGAAAATTATATAATTAATATTTAATTAAAATGATAAAAATCTGAAAATTGAATAAATAAAGTTCAAACCTGATTTTTAAAAATGGATCTTTAATCACCTATTTTTATGTAATTTCCACATTTGAGAATTGCAACTGGCCCACGCTATCAACCGACTTCAAATGGGACAAAATTTGGTATCTTAGTTTGAAAATAGCTTCCTCGAGACATTTATACATTAAATAATTATTTATGAGATGCAGTCAACTTATTCACAACTCAATTATTTACGAGTAAAATGTTAATAAGCACTTTCCAAACAAGCTCTATGTCAAAGAGTATAAGCCTTAGGGCTCGTATAATGTAACTAAATCTTTTTATAAACTTAAGACAATTTTCATGTTTAATCGATGTAGAATTTTCGTTCACATACTTTATCAAGATTTTTCTAGTAAAAGAAGCATCTTTGAGCATGTCTTTGATATCATTTGTAAGTATTTGAAATTTATCCCCAAAATGTAAATTGAGTACGCGGAGTACCTCAATTCCCTTGTAAGCGAAAAACCATTTGTGTCTACTATGCTTAAAACTCGTGTTCACGTTTCCTACTAAAATGGCATACAGTTCTACGACATTGGCTCGACTCGAGAAATGTAGAAGAAAAAAATGACACTTAAAAAGAAAATAACCCAAATGACACGCAATATACAAGTCAAGTCTATTATGATGGTCACATATCGCTTTCGCCTCTCTTAGACATTTCTCTAAGAAAAGTAGACAATAAATTGTTTCTACAAATAAGACATATAAATCTCGTGACCCTCATACACGACAATGTAACAGGCGTTAAAATAAAAGCCATATAAATATTAATTGAATTTGATTAACTAAGAGTGTGTTTGAGACACATTCTTTTGAAAGAATGTATTATTGAATAGTAGATTGATGGAGAATTTGTGGTTAAAAATGAAGGAAAAGTTATTAATGTGATGGAAAATATTATTTTATTAAAGAATGTGAGGTTGAAAATGAGTAGAAGAATGAGAATGAAAAAAATAATGTGTACCAAATAGGGCCTAAATTGTAAATTTCTTTTCATTCTTATATTCCCGTATGAAAAGACTATTTTCTGGATTCACCGCAGCATAGAACATTTCCCCCCTTCAGGTAAAATATTTAATTCTTCTTACTAGTAATAATTTCAAAACCATGCTAAACGAAGTCATATATTTAGTTACGAAAAATCTCGTTTTCAATACAGAATGTGTCCTTGATGCAGCAACTTTTAAATTTTATCAAAGTTGTTTTGGCTACATGTATTTATTTTTCCATTTAATTAGTTTTAGTTATCATGTTTTCTTGGTAACTAAATATTTTAATTTATTTAATCGTTGTTTGACCCCATTTCTTAATCACACATTTAATAGATATACAACTTTTATCAACTTTCGTCCAAATATTTCACCAATTTTTATTAAGATCTACTGAAAATCTAATTTTTAACGAAACGAAACGGGCTTATTGTAATTGTATATTATACCCGTTTGGTTAGATTAAAAAAATTAGATTTTTAGTAAATTTTAATAAAAGTTGGGTGAAATGTGTGATTGAAAAGTTGTTGATTATGAGCTTGTTTGGAAATGATTAAAATCGGATTAAAATTGAAAAACTAACCGTTATTGTTGACTTTTATTAGACGGGTGAGACCTAATAACGGTTATACTTTCAATTTTAATTGAATTAAAATCATTCACAAGTTAAAATTTAATTATTGATTTTAATCAGATTTTTAATTCAACTAAACCAAACGGGACTCATTGTATTTGTATATTATACCCCTGTTTGGTTAGATAAAAAAATCACATATTTAATAAATTTTAATAAAAGTTGATGGAATGTGTGATTATACGTGGTTAAACAATAAAATAAAATAGCCATATATTTAACCATATATTTCCTAACATATTGTTTATCATTGAAGATCAGATTCTATAGCTACTTTCATCACATAAGAATGGTTATTTCAGTAACATAGCCATAAATATTTCACAAGTCCTTCAAAATAGCTATTTGCAAGTCACCAAGATGATTAATAGAAAAAATATAAAATACCTTATAAATTTCATACATTCAAATATTACTCAATACATACTATGTTTTATTATATTACATTTTTACTTGTCGTCTCAACGAGGCATGTTAGAGACTCACGAATAAGATAGCAACATAAAAAAATAAATTCATTGACCATGAATGTGCTCAAATTCGGGGAGTTTGGAGAGAGATGTAAATGTTTTAAAATAAAATAAATCTCAAAAACCTAAAATTCCCAACACGTTAATGCGATAATCATTTAAAAAAAAAAAAAATCATTAGTACAAAACAAAAAAGAATACTCATAAATATTTGAGATTACCATAAAAATTTAAAACTTGAACTTGTTATGTCTTGATTTGAGGCGACTCAAACACAAGCAACTCTTTATGCTTCATAGACAAATATATAATGTGTTACGAATCTCTTCTATATAAAAAGTGTGTATCTAACGGAATTTGTTGTTTAACGGCCGAAATTTGTTGGTTTAACGGAAAAACTAACGGAATTTCTTGGTTTAACGGAAAAACTAACGGAATTTCTTGTTTTAAACAGGCAGTTGCACCTTCTTTCAGTATTTTTATCATAACTTTGTATTCCGATATCCGATTGAGGCGATTCAAAATGCGTTGGAAAGCTAACTCATATGC